TTAGCCATCGGAGTGTTCCCGCCGGGAGAGCTCCTCCTGCACCTGCCACCTTAGCCCTGACAGTAATGGCTAGGGCAGTGGCGGTTACGCCTGACATGACTGAGCTCCGGTATAAGAGGACCCCGACCCTCATGAAGCAAAGGTATTGAAGCTAGCACTTTCAGCACTCTTAACTCTCTATGTTTTCTTTGAGTTTTCCTCAAAGTTCTAACTTAGCCATCGGAGTGCTCCCGCCGGGAGAGCTCCCCAGGAATCCTTCACGTTCCTCTTCATCTCAGGTGTCGTCTGTCACAACTAGGAGCCAAGTTTCAGCCAGCTAGGAGTGCCCAGATCGTGCTACATCATTTGGCGTCGTCTGTGGGAAATGCTACAAAAAGCTAAGTTCTCATCCTCTGAAAGGCTAAGTCATCTTCTTCCAGAAAGCTAAGTTTTCACCATTTAGAAATTAAAAGCTCTCACTTTCTAGTTTCTGTTTTTTATGAACTCAAAGACTATGCAGGAAGTTGATGGCCAATAGACTAAGCAGCTCTACCAACTTTATTTCAACTTGGACAAAGCCTCATCAGTCCTCTTCGCGAGGTACTCTCTGCAAAGATGAGCTCTTCGTGGCTTCCGCGGGAGTAGGTGGCCAACAGACTGCATGGATGCCCCTATCGGTCGAGCCTTCCAAGGCTCCCATGCGAGCTGGTGACCTAAAGTCAGTAGTGCTGCCTCCGTAGGTTGAGCTCCTAGTAGCTTCTTGTAGGAGTGGGTAACCGATGTCACTAACGAGGCTGATGCTGCGCAGTTGTAGCTCTAAGGCGCGACCTGGCAGCCTTGCACGGGCGCCGACCTGGCGACCTGGCCTAGGCGCGAACTGGCAAGCTGATAAAAAACTTCGGCTCCACATAAGACCCAATCGCCTCTTCGGCATGGGCAAAATCAAAGATCAAGGAGAGTGGACTACGAGTCACTCCCAGAGCCTAAGGGCTAAAATGCCAAATAGATAAATGACCTTAGCACCACATAAGTCCCAGTCGCCTCCTCGACATGGGCATATAAGTCACAGTCGCCTCCCCGGCATGGGCACACAAGACCCAGTCACCTCTTTGGCATGGGAAAAATCAAGGGTAAGGAGAGTGGACTACGAGTCACTCCCAGAGCCTAAGGGCTAAAGTGCTGAACTGGCAAAGACTTCGACACCACATAAGACCCAGTCGCCTCTTCGACATGGGCAAAATCAAAGATCAATGAGAGTGAACTACGAGTCGCTCCCAGAGCTTAAGGGCTAAAGTGCCGAACAGATAAAAGACCTCGGCACCACATAAGTCCCAGACGCCTCCTCGGCATGGGCATACAAGTCCAGTCACCTCCTCGGCATGTGCACATAAAACCCAGTCGTCTCTTCGTCATGGGCAAAATCAAAGATCAAGGAGAGTGGATTATGAGTCACTCCCTAAGCCTAAGGGCTAAAGTGCCGAATAGATAAAAGACCTCGGCACCACATAAGCCACCATCAATTGGTAAAATGGAATATTAATGGCAAGAGTAGATCTAGTATGTTAAAATGAAAGTACAGGTCAGCTCTGTGCTATAAATGAAAGCTTGGAGAGCTTAAATATCACTATCCCCGAAGTACAAGCATTTTTTTTTCATCCATCCCCAACCCATAACCCTCAGGCCAGGTCTCCCGAACCTTACCAACGTTGGCACCCATAATCCCTAAAGTATAAGCTCGTTGCCTAATGGATGTCGTGTTTAGTTGATATCCCAGGTCTCCTCTGATCTGCATTTCCTTAAAAAATGGAATTGATGATGAAATAGGTTATGATTACAGTCTCTCCTTTTCTCTCATTCATCTCTTTCTCTTGTCTACTCGTGTTTCAATTTTCCATTATCATCATGTGTTTCCAGTGGATAAAAGAAATAGCAGGTAGTTGGTTGAATCCATTACGAGTGGATCAGATCTACTATTGAAGGATATGAGCTTTCTACCTTTAATTAGGAAACAACACTACTTTAAAACGAGAGTGGAATCCATGCCACTTCAATTTATGTTAATTTTGGACGAAAACTCTTTTCTTTTCGGATAGCTTTGCTTTTAATATATGGTATGGATAATATGGGTACTTGGGTAGAACTTGCTTCCTCAATGATCAATTTAAGTAGGGAAGCAATGTGAAGGGTTGGAATTACCAAAATTAGGGGGTGCTTACATCACTCTCATTTCATTTTCTATTAAAACGGTTTTCAGATGAACTGGATGATAAAATGACTTTTTGCAAGCAAAATTGGGGCAGTTAGGCCAAAAGTTGCCAAATAATCAATTTGTGTTGGTAATGTGGAAAAGGGGTAAGTAGACCCCATTTTGTGGTGACACTCAATTTGCCACATTTAAACTTTAAAATAAATGAAGAACAGAAAAGTGCATTAGCCAAACATGTGCTGTCTGGATACTATAACTATTAACTAACCTCATTAATTCTGAGTTTATTTATCCCAAAAAAGGTCTTTAATTAATGATAATATAGTAAGCGCTTGGCTCTTCCCAAATCAGGGACAATCATTGGCGTAAAAAACGGGTAAAATATAAAAATCTCCTCTGAAGTTTCTGACAATCATAAAACCCTTTCATGAAGTTTCATTTTAACAAAAACCTTCCATGTAGTTTTAAAAAATCCTGCACTTACCTCTCTTCTATCATTGTCCCTGTCAGGAAATGTTGGCATAATGCATTATTTTTTTTGAAAATACCTATTTTACCCTTTTGTCTATTAATTCATATAGAGGTTTACTAAAAGACTCCAGAAAAGCTTTTAATTTTTAACTAAAAAATTTCCCTAGGTAAGATTAAAGAGTAAGTAATTTAATTTTGTAAACTCGTTATGTATGATTGAGTGAAGTCTAAAACGGCAAATCTGATGTTTTGATTATATTGAAAGATTTCCTAACAAGTATTAAGGGCAATTTTGTAACTTCAATGTCTTTGTTACAGAGACAATAATGTTTTTTCTTGATAATGAATTGAGACAATGACCGAAGAGAGGTAACTATAAGAGTTTTCAAAACTATGGGGGAGGTTTTTGTTAAAATAAAAGTTTAGGGGTGGTTTTTATGATTGTTAAAAGCCTTAGTGGAGGTTTTTATATTTTACCCAAAAATATCAGGAATAATCATATAGGCTCAAACTATCCAAGCAATGAATTAAAGTCACAACATAGAGAATTAGTTGAAAATGTAGGCATTCCAGTAGTTGTGCTTTGGAACAATCTGAGTGGGTTGGATAGGTTGAGGGTCAATTCAGGCCCAATCTCTAGGATGTAAATCTCACAGGCTTGGGCCTGGCCTAATCCAAGACCAAGCCTGAGTTTACCAACCCAAGCTTAATCCAGTACAATTCGGATAGGACTTCGACCTTGGTTGGGTTTATAAGAATTTATGAATATATTTTTGTACAGTCATTTTTTGTTTGATTTTATTACCCAACTTTTGATATATATTTAGAAAAAAAAAGAAAAAGGATTGGGTGAGCTTGGGTTGAACCAGGCCATACCTTCACTACTCAGTACCCAAAGCCTCAAAAAGCCTCAAACCAACCCTAACCCAAGTTTAGGTTAAGCCCACCCCAAAAGCCCTGGCCCAACCTAAGCAAAAGTTCAGACTGGCTTGGTCGGGCTTGTATTGAGCCCGCCCCAACTTTGGCCTGGACGATACGAACTAAGCCAAAAAAGAATGGAGCTGGGCTGGGATATTAACATCCATCTTTTATTTCTGTATATCTAATAAGACCGAGTCTCTTGAGTCCTAGAATACTGCTTTTAGAGCCCTCAGTAATTATCATGGGGCAAATATTTAGAAGATCAGAACCCTTCATTGAATGGGTCCCACCAATGACCAATGAGAAGGGAGCATTGGCTGGGCATCATATTCAATCCAAACCCCAACCNCCCCCCCCCCCCCAGAGAGTATTTCCCGAAAATTCAACCAGTCCTATGATGAGATACAATCAAGCTGACGTGGCATCATATTTATTGGACGGTCCTAAACAACGACAAACCGTGGACTTCTCATTAGACTGCTGATTCTCTCTCACTAACTGGACAGAAATACCCTACCACAAGGCCCTTGTGGGTCATTAACCAACCTAAACTGTATGGACGTTTATGTCATTTGGGAATTTGACACATCAAAATGCGTCACAACTTGCGTGTCCACATACGTGCTGATGCCGCAAACGCCATGTGATCAGTTCCTGTCATTTCTCATTTGGATTGGAGCCATGAAAGGAGTCTCCCATAGAAGTCCATCCAAATTCAGAAGCTGATGGATATGGGCCCATCTCAATGCCCAATATCATTGGTTTACGAAACGGTTTCCACGAGGGTGACGGTTTTCCAGTACGACAGGGCCACATTTCGGATAGCTACGCATAACGCTTTTATTGCTACAGATCCACATGGGATGGACTACTGATGGAGACCCTGCACGGCTAGATGACGAGTTGACGACCGGGAGCGGAATTGTTGCTACACCACTGTTAGGATATGGGCCCCATCCACCTTCGTTTCTTTCCCGAGAGCTAACTAACCAACCCCCCCCCCGGCCCACGGGCTTTGTGCATGGGCTTGGATCTTAATGCGTATCTTAGGCACCCGGCCGAGTGGAATTTTTAGCTTCAATTTCTCTGATTCTCCGATTCTCTCCACTCTGCAACAGGAAACGAGGTGGGTTGCTGGACTTATTTTGCCACCATTTCTTGATTGATTAACGAAAATGCCACTAAATTTGATAAAGAGCGAGAAGTTTGAAGTACCAACTCCCAACCAATTCGGTTTTATTGTAATTTAGTTTTAATCTATGCCTCTTTTTTTTAGTACATATATAACTGAGCTGGGCTTTTCCATGAAAAGATAACAGAAAAGCTCCAAGCCTCCAACAATTACAGTATTATAACAAGAAGAAAGAAGCTTTAAGCAATAAGAATAAGAAAGAAAGAAAGAGATGGTCCTCTGGATTACGTATCAAGGCCTCGAGAAAGCTTCGTAACTGGGTAGATCAAACGAACTCCAATTATCGTTTTGTAAATTGGGATGAAACGTCGTTAGATGATCGTTGGAAGGGAAACTCTCGATCCCTTTCTGCAGCTCCGCCGGTTGCCATGTGAAATTCGGCATGGATGGAGCATCGGACCACAATGCACCATGATCGATTCCATCACTAACTAATGGTGGAAATTCGAAACTGCTGAGATCTTGAACCGTGAAGTGTGAAATTCTCTCTTCTTGTTGCTTGTAGTTAAATTCAAATTGATCATCTGGAAACATCTGGGGAGATGGAGACTCTTCAATGAAGTGGGCTTGGAGTGCTACATCAGACGGTCTCTGCCACTCTACAACGTTGTGATCTTCTGCTATTTCGTTCGAATTCAAAGAACTCGAAAGGTTGAAGGACGCATCCATCTCGTTTTCGCTTGACAATTCAGGTACAGCAAACCCAGAATCGAAACACGAGTTCTCGCTCACGAATTTAGCAAAAACAGCCGCGAGATCGATGTTCGAGACATCGGTGGGTTCTGTTGTTGGCGCTACTGTTCGCTTCCCGTCCGATGGTTGGCTTTCTCGAGAGAAGGTAGAACTGGGCTGCGTGCAACGGAGAAACATGGAGGTGGGTTCAGTCTGTGGAAGCCTGGCAGACTTTGCTCGGCGAGTTTTCCGGCAACCGCCACCAACTGGCACATTTCGAAGAGAACCACCTTTCGTCCAGTACCTTCGGCAGCCCTTGCAGAAGTATCGAGGCTGTGAGAGGCTGTAATTGTTGTAGTAACAGAATTTGGTGTTGGGAGACGCGCAACGTGGGCAATTCGGAGCTAATTCGACGGTGGGCTTCCATCTTCTATCCATTGTCATGGTTCCTGGTGCGGATTGGATCATTTTTTCTCCTGCTGTGAACACCATCTATGAAAATTAGAACGAGCAGAAAATCGAGAGAGAGAGAAAAAGAGAGAGAGAGAGAGAGAGAGAGAGAGAGAGATTAAAAGAGGTGGACTCGAGATTTGAAACTGGGGGAAGTCGGAGAGGGGTGGATGATACTATGAGCCGCGGGCGGTTAGGCAACCCGTTAGAGCAACGAAAAGGAAAAGGCAAGAATTGCTCCTTCTGTATTGAAGTCAAATTTGTAGTGTAAGATTGGACACGTGTCAAGATTGTTTAAAGGTTGAGGGGATCTTGAGATTTGAGTTGAAAAGTCCCAAAATATATATTTTTAAATGTTAGAAGAGAAGCAGTGAGGAAATGACTAAAGAGTCCTCAATATGGCCTTTTCATTATTCAATGCTTTGGTTTTGGGCCCAGACTGGAAGGTCCAGTGCCGTTGGTCTGGTCCTGTTAATTGGGCTGTCGTTTGTCAACAAGTCGGGTTCAGGTATATCCATTTCGGACCATGTCGTATCAGGTCCACATCTAGACCTACCATAATTATTGGACTTATAGGTATGGACAGCTATATGCAAAATCTCTCTATGAAAAAAAAAAAAGAGTGAACTAGTGTTAAGGTGAGATTTGCATGTGATATTTTAACATTGTTGAAGACTTGAAGTCTTTGAATTACAATTTTGAATTTTATCATCATAATGAAATTAAAGGGTCTTTAAATATTAGGGTCCCTTCGGTTCGTGTCAATAAAGGTCGGAATTGGAATTGGAATGGTTCATTTTGATTCTAATCATTCCCTCTCCCAATGACAATTCCTTTTCAATTAATTCTAATTTTCATTTCGGTTGTAAAAACATGAAAAGCATAGACCATTTCAATTCTGATTCCAAAAATCTTTCATTCCCACTATAAATCAAACGGATCCAAAGTTTTCAAAATTCATGAATATCTCATGCTAAAATAGGGTTCAACTAAATTAGAATGGATTGTTTATCAAATGAGATCTATTGGTAAGGGTCCAAGTCAAATGCCCAATTTGAAAATTTTAGATAACGTGGGGCCCGGATTTTGGGGAGAGCCTATTCAAATGCTCAACCGAACTCGCCTAAGTTGCACACACATCTGTTGGACCTCGATTATGATAACCTGGTATTTATCGACACCCTACATCCATTTGAGGCAGGAGTTTAATAAATATGAAGAAAATTTATGGACCTGAAAAGACATGATATGGAAGGGCTTTGATCAATCAAAACAACTCATGAATTTTGATGAAAATCACCTAATTAGTTACTACCTTTATGATATTGGTTTATTGGTTACAAGTTTCTTTGTTATTATAGTTGAATCAATGAATAAGAATATTCCAAAAAATTGGATGTGTATGGGAAAAGTGATCCACTACACGTTGATGAAGAGTTTAGAAAAAAAGAATTTTAGTGAAAATAATAAAAAATGATTTAAGTATTCATAATTTGATGATGAATTAATATGGCAGTAAACACGAGAGAATGGCAAAATGGGATTCATATAGCCAACCCAATATAATTGGGATAAGGATTAGTGGATGATGGTTGTGTATGAACATTTTAGGGAAAATTTCTGATCAATATTTTGTATTTGGGCTCGAGTAACAATTTGGTCCCCGAACTTTAAAATACAATAATTCAGTATCCAAACTTTTAAAATGTGACAATCGAGTACCCGAACTTTCAAAATGTGACAATGCAGTACCTGTCGTTAACCAGTCCGTTAATCAGCCGTTAAAGTGACATTTGAAAAGTAAAAAATGCCCTAAGAATGCCATCTAATTCTCTTTATCAACCATGCAAACATTGATAATAAAATGAACAGTCCCAAATTCTAGATTCTTCTAAATAGTCACTAACTTTTTTGAATAGAAGAGGCTAGGATTTGGGATTGTTTAGTTTTTTGTCAATGTTTGGATGGTTATAAAGAGAATTAGATGGCATTTGAAGGGCATTTTTGACTTTTCAAATGTCACTTAACGACTGATTAACGACAGGTACTGGATTGTCACATTTTGAAAGTTCGAGTATTGGATTGTCGCATTTTAAAGTTCGGGGGACCAAATTTTCACTCGAGCCAAAGTACAAGGTACATGGGGTGTTCACGGGTCAGGTTGGTTCAATTTTTAAAACCAACCCAGAGAACCAAACAGTTGGCCCATTCTAATAAAAAAAATTAAAAAAATAAAAATGGTCAAAACCGTTGAGCTGTTTGATCGCCCAGGTCAGTGGTTTGCTGATCAAATCAACATTTTTTTTTGCAAATATCTGGTTTTGGGAAAAAATGGAACCAGTCACCTAATCGGTTCCCAGTTTTTCGGTCCGATCGCCCGTTCCGGTTCAATTTTGAAAACCATGATTTTTTTTTTTCAACCGACCCGACCTAGTCGGTTTACTCATTGACTAAACCGAAACCAACTGACCCTAAAGCAAAACCGACCCAAACATGAAGGGCCGGTTTGGGTCGGTTTATCGGTTTAGTCAGTTTTTAAATATATTTCAAACTAAAATATTTATTTATATTTCAGTTTATTCCTTTTTAGTTTTTATGCAAAACCAAAATATATATTTAAATCGATTAATTTTTTATGCAAAACTGATTTTTTTGTCAATATATATATTTAAATTTATACAAAACTGAATTAAATATTGTACGATTGTATTATATTTGTATTGGTTTTATGTTTTTAGTTTTCATCATAAATAAACAATTTTTTTTAAATTCAAACAAATCTCAAATAAAATATATCAACATTTAACATATAGGATAGGGGCTTTACTTAAAAATATAGAATCAATTCGGTTTGATTTGGCTTGAAAACCGAAACTGAACTGAGTTGTCAGTTTATTTTTTTCATACAAACTGAAACCGACCAGTGATTTTGAAAAATCAACTCGGGTTGGGTTGGGCCGGTTCGATCGGTTTGACATTTAATGTGAACACCCTTATAGGGTACTGATCAGGAATTTCCCAACATTTTCTATGGTTCTTAGTTTTTTCTCTTTTTTTTTTTAATTTTGTGCCCATTAAGTCCCAAATCTGATGTAATTAAGAAAAATGAAAATAAAAGAAAATAAAAAGTATTTGGTCAAAATTTCCTAACTATAAGAGAAAAAAATTAAGTGTCCATATAAGTTAGTTTCCCAATAAAATTTCAAAAGTTTATATAGTTCTGTATTCAAAAAGACTTGTATAGTTCTAGAGTTCTAATAAAAAAATTTCCATTGAAATGCCATTTTCTGACCCACTTTTAATCTGGTCGGGTCATGTTGGTATCCCCAAACAGGCTGGATTTGACTGAACCGACCCACTCTGGCCTTGCCCTACGCTGCTCTCTGGCTCTGCCTACTTATTCAATGAGACCATCAAAAGACAAAGAATTGTAGTGTTAGTGTAAATACCAATGGAGGGTTGATATGGTAATTGGCCCCAATGCTGAGATAATATACATATTGCACTGCGCAAGGAAGTCAGCGGATCACATGCATAAATGGGGCACGTGGCATGTCCTCCTTTTATGGTAGTTTATAAAATAAACAGAAAATTCGCACAGAAGACGTCGCAATCTCAGGTGTATCATGTATGGGGGGGCTTCTCGGCTTCTCTCCTGCGGGTAAGGTTGGTACACGCCATCCTCGAACCTCGTCCATCAATCTCCGCGGTTTAGTGCTCTACAAGTCAACGTTCATAGTTTTATGCTTCCCCTGGACCGAGTTGCGTCGTACTTCAGTGCACCTTCCCATTTTGTTCACACACGTGGCATCCAATGATGGTATTAAGGGCAGAAAGTCTTCCACGTGGCAAGACGTCACCATTTCTTGAATTCATGAACAGAATGGTTCCTTGGCTTCCACGTATAGCTGGACGCCCAACGCGTTGACAGGCCCACTGAGAGATGACCACTGAACGTGGACTTGGGCTATATCTAACCACTGAACTTGGACCATTGATTTCAGATATCCATAACATGGATTCTCTCAATATTATTATTTCAATTCCTTTTGACTTGGATAGAATATACGACAGCTTCATGCACAGTGACTATTTTTTCTTGCATTTTCAGTCATTATGTTAATGGGCGGCACATTACATGTTTGGGCTCATGCATGCATGCGTATGGTATGGGCATTTACATGTTTGGCTTATATATGCATGTGTATATGGATGTATATGGATACGATGTAAAAGTTTAAAATATCAATACGATACACTTGATATCAATTTATTTTTAAAGATATTGGCACATGACATAAATGGAATAAGATTGGCGCTTATTCATTCTGCACGTGTCCGTTGATTTCCTCTATATCATGTTGTATCCAACCTATATTGGTTAATGGGTATCGATACCGGTATGTTTGCTGGTTTTACTTTTCTAGTACATTTTCTCACTTTCAAGTTTTCTATCTTCAATCTAAACACTTGCAGGAGAGTTCTAACATATGAGGTTTCGCGTTAAAAATGAAGGTAACTATTTAAAAGAATTTAATCCTTCAATTTCAGTAGATCTACATATATCAGTATTTGAAATGTAAGGATTTATTAACTTATTGTTGGATCTATGATGTTTTTGCCACTATCAATACATTCATGGATTTTTTCTAAAAGCTGAAAAAAAATCTAATAATTATAAAAATTATTTTAAATGCTTTTAATGGCAGGAAAGAACTATAAAAATCAATTTATGGATAATTACCAACAATAGATTTGATTTATGAATGAAATATCAAACCCATTGATCCATCAACAATTTATATCAAAAAATGTTTTTTCTTTCAATCTTTTTAATAATATATAGAAGTAAGTAGGGGTGTCAATTTGACTGGATTTGGTCCAATCCAGTCCAGTCCACTGTCATTACAAATGGACAAGGTCCAATCCAATGAATATTTTGGACCGGTCTAATACAATGTCTCGACCGTCTAATTTGTTCAAATTTATTTTAATTTAGATTGATTTCAACTCAAAAGTCAAACCCGGTCCACTGATACCTA